AGGAGGCTGTTTATAACAATAACAACAGTTGATTGGCAAGTTTTCATGCTTGTAAACTGTTTAATAAATGTAACCAAAGCCGTCAAAGATTGAGGAAAGATGGACACGTTCGTAAGTGCTTGCGTAACTGCTTCGTGAATCTGAACCCTGTACGAAATGAGTTAAGATCATGCAACAGAGAGTATGTTTCACACACGACACAGATACACATGACACAGCCACACATGACACAGCCACACAGGACACAGCCACACAGGACACAGCCACACAGGACACAGCCACACATGACACAGCCACACAGGACACAGCCACACATGACACAGCCACACATGACACAGCAACACACGACACAGGCACACACATGACACAGCCACACATGACACAGCCACACATGACACAGCCACACATGACACAGCCACACATGACACAGCCACACATGACACAGCCACACATGACACAGCCACACATGACACAGCCACACAGGACACAGCCACACAGGACACAGCCACACAGGACACAGCCACACAGGACACAGCCACACAGGACACAGCCACACAGGACACAGCCACACATGACACAGCCACACATGACACAGCCACACATGACACAGCCACACATGACACAGCCACACATGACACAGCCACACATGACACAGCCACACATGACACAGCCACACATGACACAGCCACACATGACACAGCCACACATAACATATTTTAAGTCTTAAGAAATCACAAGTCAGATGTTACATAGTAAGCTTGTATGTAAAGAATAAATATATGTTACAATATCTGTGTTTCTTTTTTTTTCTTCTGCCAAACCTCACGTAACCTTTTGGCGACCTTACGTTGGTTCCGGGGATCAATGTTCCCGCGGCCCGGTCCCTGACCAGGCCGATAGGTTACCCCATTTAACCTCTCTAGGCCAATGACCATTAGCCCTGAAAAGCCTGATTCATAGACGAAAACTTCACTTCGCGCAGATCAAAGTCTCCCCCTCCGTCATCGCTTAGGCAAACAGAAAACGGGAGTCGGTTCACCGAGTTATTTATTTTGGGGATCAGCTGGGCTAGCGAGCGTGCGCGCGCGGCCGCCGGCGCTCTAACCGGAAAGGGAGAACATGGGAGAGGGTGAGGGAGGGGGGGGGAGGGGGGGACTGCAAAAAACTGGGGCGAGATAAAAAGGATATTTGGTAGAAATACTACACTGGGAGGAAGCAGCTCCGTATGGTGCGGAGTAGGCTTGTAACAAGTCCGGTGCTTACCTAACTGACTCTACAGGGAGATGTTGTCTAGCTCTTGGGCTCTGCCTCCTGGTGTTTTAACCTCCGCGACGTGCTATGAATCGATGTCGCTTCCACAACTTTTGCTTTAAGGGGTTTTGTTTGTAAACAAACACTACGAGAGAGTATGTTTATCACTCATATCGTATATGATTAACTTATTTCATACGGTTTTATTACCCATTTGTAAGAAAAAAAGTCCACTACGGGCTCACCATAGCCCGTGCTACTTGGATTTTTTTGTTCCAAGGAGCGAATCTTAAACAACAACAATACCCATTTGTGTCTGCAGGTGCTGTGTCCAGAACCTAACGGAATGCTTTCTATAGACAGAATAAATACAGAAAGCTACAATGCTTTACCTCATCTGGAAATAGCAATCTGTATCACCTTCTAATCCTTTCGGTATCTTATACGTTGTGATCATATCACTCCTGGTCCTTCTTTCGATCGTTCTTACATACCTTCTCTGTCAAGAGTTCAATATGATCAAACGTTCCCGCTGTACAGCTACACTTAATCGACAAAAATAGGAGATTAACCGTATAAAGCGGAGGATCAGAAGCCTATATTGCCATCCTGGGAATAATAGTCACCCCTCACATTGCAAGAGAAAACCTAAGCCAGATTTCTGGAGAGAAAGCGACCCAGCGTGTTTACATGAGGCTAGGATAGGATTCATAAAGCATTTACGTGGTGTAAATGTTTCATAGTAATAGTTAGAATCCTATTCTAGCTACTTACGAAACCCATGTATCATTTTGGCAATTATAGAGGCTTTGTTTGTATTTAATAAACAATTTACTGTCTTCTTATTTTCATATCCCAAGATTATTATTGTGATAAACAACCTCGAAGTGCTTCGATCATGAACTGTTGAATAAATGTAAACAAAGCCGTCTTGATTGAGGAAAGATGTACAGGTTTCGTATATATTCTTTCATATATAGCTCACAAATTCAATATACTCACCTACCTGCGTGCGCAGCTACCTACGTACCTGACTGCCTATCTACCAACCTACTCACTACTTATCTACCCTACCCACGCATCTACCTCCTGCCGATAGTGATCACAAGCATGATGATGGAGGCTGATGATGATGATGAAGAATAGAGCATCATCACTTCCCTCACCAGACCTTGAACCAACGTTACAAATGTAGCCTCCTATGAATAGGTCCACAGATACCTGCAGTGTTTTCTATGCACAGGAGTGATAAAATTAGGTAGGTTATCTTCTTGAGGTTATCTTGAGATTTCGGGGCTTATTAACATCCCCGCGGCCCGGTCCTCGACCAGGCCTCCTTTTTGTTACACATCCCCAGGAAGCAACTGTCTATAACTCCCACGTACCTATTTACTTCTAGATCAACAGGATCATCAGGGTGAAACTGCCCATTTGTTTCCGCCTCCACCGGGGATCGAACCCGGAACCTCAGGACTATGAATCCCGAGCGCTGTCCACTCAGCCGTCAGGCTCTGTTAGGTTGGTTAGATTCTTAGGTTTCGGGCTAGGTTAGTAGGTTGGATTTTATACGTAGTGGAAAATCAGGACACTGAGATGCACCACCACCATTGTCGCTACCACAACCACTACCACTACCACTACCACCACCACGACCACCGTCGCTACTACCACCACCACCACCACCGTCGCTACTACTACCACCACCACCACCACCACCACCACCGTCGCTACTACCACCACCACCACCACCACTACCACCACCACCACTACCACCACCACCATCCCCTTGCCTTCAACCAGCAATTGAAACTACACCCCACTCACCCCAACCAAATAAATCTTATATCAAATATCGGTGCGTGGAAGAGGCGAATAGAAGAGCCCTTCCTTTTACCCCCTTCCAGCGTGAGAGTGAAGTCTGGTTTCTCCCTTTCCCCCTTCCAGCATGAGAGAAAGGGCAAGTTCCTGTCCTTTTCCCTGCCAATAAATGGGGTTCAGGGGAAAAACCGATGATAGAATGCCTTTTGGTCAAGATAGTAGTTATCTCTCGTGAAATAGGAAGCTGCAGCTCTTTTACAAGTCATATCTAGGTAGATGAGCTCTGGATAGAGCAGCAGAAGGCTCACTTCCGACTCTTCAGCTCCTTTGGTAAACATTGATGTAAACACGTTGGGGAAACATCTTGATGTTGACGTAACACCATGGGTATGGAACAGGAATGTAGACTATCTTGCTACAATTGCTTATTCTACTACTACTACTACTATTACTACTACCACTATTACTTCTTCTACTACTACTAGTACCTGAGTGTGAGACCAAGTGTGACCAAGGTATACCTGATCAACCAGGCTGTGATTTATACGTCAGGCTGCGAGCAGCCGCGTCCAACAGCCTGGTTGACCAGTCTAGCAACGAGGAGGCCTGGTCGAGGACCGGGCCGCAGGGACGCTAAGCCCCAGAAACGCCTCAAGGTAACCTTAAGGTAAAGTGTCGATTGGGTTGGGTCTCAGTAAACTGAACAGTGAGGTGTATATTCCGTAGACCTTTTTGCGTACCCTCTTATTCCCTCTGAATATCTGCACCTGTTATATGTAGAGTATATAGTCTATAGAGTCTTATAGAGTTTAGTTTAGTCTTATAGACTTTAGTCTTTAGTCTTTAGTCTTTAGTCTTATATTAGTCTTAGAGAGTTTAGAGTATATAGTTTATAAAGTCTATAAAAAAAAAAATATATATATATATATATATATATATATATATATATATATATGTGTGTGTGTGTGTGTATTTAGGTCTTGTCTCGTGTTAGCAGTACTGTACCTGCTAACATATTCGAGAGTCTATTAACTCTGTCAGCCTTCCCCTGGTGGATATACGCAAATATGCGCACGTGTATGTCCGTGTTTGTACGTCTATCCGTGCCTGTGCGTATATTATTTACTGCATGAAAACTCGTGCCAGCATGAATAACTGTACTCGCATGTATATGCATTTTGCTAAGGAAACTCATCCCAAATATACGCAAAACTAGATTGTATATATATATATATATTTTTTTTTTTTCATAGCCAGAATTAAATATATAAAATTAAGTTAAAATACGCTCTGTGTATAGTTAATATCATTAGTAATAATAAAGCAACAGCTGAGGGAGTTTAAATTATCCTGAGAATTATTACAAAAAATAAAGTTTATCGGGCAAAAAAGGACAAATTTACACGGCCTCAAATATATTTTATTTTCGCGTTTCCGTAATATTAAGTCGGTTAAAACACCATGTAGAATTGCAAGCTTTCCAAGACGATAAAAAATAGTCGCATGTGTATGGAATATATATATATATATATATATATATATATATATATATATATATATATATATATATATATATATATATATATATATATATATGGTTTGTTTACATTTAAGAATATTTATGTAAACAAACCATTCATGACAATTTTTTTTCAGGGTTATTGCTTACCGTCATTCATAAAGACAATAGGCGTCTACCCAATGGTTCCTTCTCAAGTGCTCCTCGCCGGTGGGTCAAAAACTTATAAACTTGAGGATATCAATAAAGTTGAACACTCCATAACACGCGAGAAAGGCAAACCTTAAATAAATTTGGGAAGTGGAAATAATCCTAGCGAGTGGAAATAATCCTAGCGAGAAGCAGCATCTGGCAACGTTATCCTTCCCCGGAGGATAGCAGCTGGGCGACCCGCAGCTGAGCTTCTAGTACGCGTCTGGGAGTTGACGGGTGGTGATCAGTCGCTCCTCCCTCGCTACCACGCTCACTCGCTCCTCTCCCATCTCTCCCATTCTGGATTATTATTATTATTTTTGATAAAAACCAATTGGCCCGTCAATGTGACAACATACTGTTTGTGTTAAAGAGCTCCGTTTGTAATTATCTAGTGACTATATGGTGAAGCAGTGTTGGTATTTGTGCCTGATTTTGGAAAAATAAAGGCGTGAACCTCTACCCCAGTAGGCCTATTCTGCAAGTTTCTCACGGTCTTTGATTTCTGCCTGAGAAGTCTGTGGCTGGGTCCTAGGAAAGGAACAACTGCTCGTGTGTGTGAGATCCAAAATCAAGACTTAGGACCAGTCTTACTAACGTCTTTATATTGACTCAAGTCCACCAAGTCAAACACCTTGAGACGAGGTACAAGTATGGAGTTGTACTGCTCGGAGGCCCCAGCCTGCTCGGAGGAGACGATAGCCAACGAGGACCCCTCTCTCGTCAAAGACAGCCGGGTCCTCTCCAACATGCTGCAGCTCCAGCCCTTCTACGTTCCACCACAGAACTATTTCCAGCACATACAGAGCGATATCCAGCCTTACATGCGGAAGGTTATCACCAGATGGATGCTTGAGGTAAGTTACGCCCGCCTCGTGGTTACTCGTTCGTGCGTCTGCTAGGATTGGCGACTTAAAAAGAGGCCTAGGGGTGGGTGTTTATGTGAGCCGTCCACTTGAGTGGTGACTTAGGCCTAGCGTGGGTTTTCCCATGAGGTCTCCACTTGAAAATAATTGAACATGTCACTGCTAAATACTTGAGTAGTTCTGTTGTTGACAGTGGGGCCGGTAATTGTCACATTGTCAAGCTGATCGAGAGGTCTTGGAAGGAACCTGTTCCGAGGCTAGACAACATTCCCTGTTAGTGGCACCGAACAAGTGTTATGTCCTATTCTCCATGTATTAAACATTGCTGTATAGTGCTTACGTTGCTAGCTTAGTGATTTTTGATAATTATTTACCTCTGTCTTTGTTTAAAGCCTCGTGGGAAGGTTTTCGCCCCACGTGTTGTGTCAACACGTGAGGGCGAAAACCCACGGCAATGGCAATGGTCTTGTGGGACCAAGAGCATTGCCATAGTGTCCAACACATTACCATACTTGTAGTGTGTGACAGGCTGGACTGAGTGAATTGAATTACCTCTGCATTTCTTATTGTGTTTACGACTATAAACGGAATTGGTAAAGGTAGCATTTTCAAGAATGTCTAGATTTACTAGCTGGAATTATAATATTGTACCCAACTGGTGTGTGCTGGCATTTCTGTGAGGCTGAATTTCAAGCAGCACTGCATAAGATCTTGTGTGTTGAGAATACTGTTGGATCTTGTTTAACTATTCGAACAAATAATCAACATTAAGGTTAATAATTATAACTTGTGGGTGTGAATGTTTGACAACTACATGTTATTCATTATGGTAAATGCATTCACTGCGCTTATAAACCACAGGAATAATGATTAGCGAGAACATAACGATCACTTTGGTTTCTGCCAATTTACGTTTTAACGTTAATTCGTAAGTTAAATAATTTTTTGAAAACCTGTAATTGTAGCATTCTATGTGAAGTTTATTCTCACAGTATCAGCATATTCTACGTATCGTAGTTTGAGGCTATATCGTCGCCGGTCGTCTTTAAGACAGGAAATGCCCGTAACATGATCCTTGATGCCTGAGAGCTGGGGGGCAGGAGGCTAGTGTCCCTAAACCAACCCTCCCTAGCCAACCATCCCTCCCTCATCCCCCTCCCTGGCTGCTACTCGCCCTCGCCTTCAGACTGAAGTTTGCACTTAAACCAATTGTAGTAGACAAATTGATTCTCTTCTACGATTCTACCCTCAGTGAGACTAGGTAAGGATTGACTAGGCCTGACTAGGTAGAAGTTGACCACGCGTTAATTGCCCACACATTGCCCCCCTGACCACATCCTGCAAATCCCGACCTAGTGTCCCCAGACCAAAGATTCTGACCATCACCACGCTTGAAATTCGCGCGTGTGTGTGTGTTGGTATTTGGGAGGCTGGCAAAGGCTAGATCGAAAAAGAGCGTTTGCTAGGCTTGTTAAACAATGTTATAACTGTTCACAATGCTGTTAGACCCATTAGTGTTCCTCTTTTAGGCCAAAAATATATGTTGTCATTAAGAGAATGTGTGGGATCATATTCATTCATAATGGGATAGGGATCCCCCCCCTCTATCCTTCCTCCCTCCCCCCCCCACCCCTCACCTCCGGCTTGTCCCAAACTGCCGGCCAACATGGCCTTACATGTTTCTCAATGCATGTGACAGACCCAATATTTGTCAAAGTCGCGGTCATAGCCCAGGCGTGGAATTACACAGGGCTATACAATAGTCGACTTCCTTCTCTTTCTTGAGAATTTTGTTCTTAATAGAAAGAGAATCTGTTAAAATGTTGTAAATTCATTTCAAAATAAACCGGGTTTGTTATTAGATATGTACCATGTGCTGGGCCAGCTGATGGAGACTTGTTGAGTCGGTGTCCGAACGAATTAAAGTTCATACGAATTATAGAGGTAGAAATTATTCCTATGAATTTCAAAGTAGGGTTTGACAATAATTACATTGCCAATCCTGTTGACAGTCTGGCTCAGTGCCTGCCGTATGTGGCACTTTATCTTCTGCCTCCTATAACAGGAGAGACAGAATCCCACTCCCTTGTACAATGTTCTATTTCTAAATACTGGTATGTCATTCAAACGTTCCCTTCAAAGTGCTATATAATCTTAATGCTTTCCCCAGATAGTTGTTACCTTCCCTTCAAACACTTTGATGAGTATCTTTACGAGTTAAAACCTGTTTTCCTGAAACACGTAATTAGAAAATAGTTTCGAACAATGGAATACAGTCTTGAACTTCCACTTTTTAAATGTCTTGGAAATTTAGGCCATTTGCTTCATGGAGCCTAAAAGGCGTATAGCCGTAAATTCAACCTTCGGGGGGTTTGGAGCTTGGGTACAAGAGGCATAGGGTCTACAATTAAGTACGCTTGGGGTATGGATGTGCGTGTATGGCCGCGAGGTCTAGGCCTACCATAGAGAGACGAGCCGAAAGCCTCATGTTTCACGTGGTCGGGGCCCTCGTTAGTGTGAAACCATATAATAAATCTTGCTCACACTTGTCTTACGAATACCGGGCAAAAATATGTTACAAAAACAATACTGCGGAGTTTGAGAAGGAAAACACTAGGCTATGCAAACGTACTTTTAATGTGCTTGAAGTGCATTGATTTGTCTTAGCAACCAGCTATAAGAATCCAGGGTCTGCTTGGGTTGCCAAATGTCCTTATGGATTTTCTCAAGTATTTTCCATTGAAATCTATTAATCTAGTTGCTCTTGTTATATTAAGTGATATTTTAAAGCCATTAACATTATGTACAATGTACTTAGGTTGAGTTCAAAAGCATATGAACTTCGTAATGAACCTGTGTCTTATCGGCTATGTACAAATTAAATTAAACAGCTCCAGATGTTGGTAACTTTGTTCTCTGTAGCGTAAACACTTTTAGTTAGGGTCATATTCGTCTAGAATTGATCAAGAGGTTTCCACCCTCATTCTTATTGAAGATAATTTGAGGCAGAATTTTCAATAATAGAAGCGGTATTACAGAAACAGATTTGTCATAAATTGATGGATCAGAGACTGGTATCCCTGCTAAGGCATTCTAAATCGAGAGATAAAGATAGATAAAAGATTAAGCGACCCAAGAGGTGACACGGGCATGAATAGCCCGTAATTTTTACATCATCCATTCTACTCAACACGCTCACATTAGTAACTAATGGTTTTGATATGCTAATCTGCCTCTGAAACCTATGTAAAGTAAACCAAGAAACAACTGAAACAACTGAATATATATATATATATATATATATATATATATATATATAATTCCTCGTCAAATCTGATTGATACCTTGCTCACCAATGATCGTGCCTCTTTTTACTCTGAAATTGGCATCTTGAATGATATATGGTGCTGGAAGTAATCTTCCAGGCTTGGTGCCTTCTTTAGTTAAGTTTTTTGCTTGGCTTGATGCCTTTTGTTAATTACTGTACTTAAAAATTGGCTTGTATCTGCCCACAGGTATGCGAAGAACAGGCCTGTGAGGACAGAGTTCTCGTCGTGGCCATCAATTTCCTGGATCGCTTCCTGTGTGTGTGTGTCGTACAGAGGACCCAACTGCAGTTGTTGGGTGCCGTCTGCCTCCTGCTGGCGTCCAAGCTGCGACAATGCCGGCCCCTCTCAGTAGACCTCCTTGCCTACTACACCGACTACTCTGTCACGGCTGAGGAAATTAAGGTATGTACGGATGTTAGAGTTTAATAGCATGATGATGATACGTGCTTGATGGGGTTCTGGGAGTTCTTCTACTCCCCTTCTACTTGCCTTGTGATGAGTGGGTGTACGTGTGAGGCTGTACACGGGGTGTACATGTCTTCACTGTGTATTGTGTAGGTGCACGTGTGTGGGGGGAGGGGGGTATACATGATAACTCATGTATCAATGTAAAATTGAATGTATACATGTCATAAGTGAATTATGGGTTGGTGTATTAGTTGATATAAGGGTGGACACAGATTTATACATGTCATTAGAGTGATGGAGACACGAGGGGACACATGGCCCTATTGGTGTGTGTATATATATGGACGTGTAAATGCATCACAACAAGCCAATTTATCAGTCTTAAATATACAGGTTTATCATTAGCATCCAAAATGTTGCAAATAGTGCAATTAGCCTAGCGCCAGGCTCCCAGAGGGACATTCCTACACCAGCCCCGTGTTAATACAGGTTAACAATGGGTTTGTGGGTCATCAGGCTAGCTAGGTGTTTGCTCTGCCCATCCTGGGAAGGTGTTGGTTCTGGGGTAGGTTGAGGGTGGAGGCGGCCAGCCCTGCCCGCTATGGGAACTTTGAAAGAAGCTTGATCACATAATTCATTTTTTGTCTTGAATTGTTTTGACATTTTAGTGGGGGGGGTGATATATTTTGTTTTTACCACATGCGTGTATGCAATTTAGAGCCCACGATTGCAATACTAAAATTGTCTGGATTCTGTTTGATGGTTAAAGCTTCTATACACATTCTTGTATTGTTTACTTCTTTTATGATGAGTTTGGCATGTGTCATCATCCTTTCGGTCTGTGAAAGCCTAAGGCAGAACAAAATATATCGGCCGTTGTGTGGCTTTCAACTTAGGACTGAATCAAGACAGTTTTAGCAGGATTCAGCCTCTCGGTAATGTGAAATAGCCTAGCGTGGTCAGCCTAATCTTCCAGTACTGACCACAGACGTGTGACATTTGGAAGATAGGTGGGAAGTTGAGGGTACTGTGAGATAATGTAGGCCCGGAAGAGATAAGGGGGATTTGTAAGGAGATGGAGGGAGTGGGAAGGGTTATGGAGACGGTGAAGCGTGGGAGGGGATGATGAGGTAGTTGAGAGAGTGAGGGAGGGATGGGGAGACAGTAGTGAAGTGGGGAGAGAAGCCTACACGAGGATTGGTAGGAACGTCAAGGGTAGGGAGGGAAATAGGATGCCAAACATGTCTGGTTCCCACGAGTGACTTGTTTAGCCTCACAGCGAAGCAATGTTTTGACAGTGGGTCTTTACCCTACTCTTGTATATCCATGTCCGGTTTGCCGGACAAATTACAAGTTCGGTTTTGGCTTAAAAAATGTTGGAACTTGAGGAGGACAAGGTGCGGGTCGCCAAACCTACCTAGTCCGGGCTTGGCGTACCGCATTGGTGATTGCTCACCCGTGTCCAATGGCTTAGGTGAGTTGGGGCAATAGTGCTGGTAGGCCGTGCCCTGGGGACTGATGCAGGGGGAGGGGCGGTGTGCTGGTAGGCTGTGCTCTGGGGTGTGATGCAGGGAAGAGTGGGGGAATAGGGGGAGGCAGTAGTCACAAACATTCATGGTTGACAGCGTGTATATATATTCCTCCATATTACACTTGAGTTCCATGTATACAATTCACCGTTCTAGGTATATCATACAGTTCCAGGTATACACCATACAAACTCGTGTACTTAGGCCACATTTTTTAAGGCCTTTACACGTGAAAAAGCCTATTTTTATGTTTTACCATTGTATCATAAAACTAAACAAAATGGCCTTGTATATGAGGAAAACCCAAGGCGAAAAAATGTCTGTCTAGGCCTACACTTACCACCATATTTTTTTGTCTTCACATTTGCAGGTAGGCGGGACTTTCATGAGGCCTATAGGTTGGGGGGAGGGGTAGATATGGGTGCGGGACAATTCTATTGGGCTGTAAAATGGGGATGTTTACTGCAGCTAAAGTAGGTTGACGAGAGGAAGGTGAAATCTTGTTTGCCATTTGCTGACGGAAGGCTCAAAGCTATATGGCTATAGCATGTCGGCCTAGGTGCTCACCTAGTTGTGCTTGCGGGGGGGTTGAGCTTTGGTTCTTTGGTCCCGCCTCTCAACCGTCAATCATCTGGTGATGCCCTTCAAAGTGCACTTTTTGAGCCAGTGGAAGCCAAAAGTTTACTTTGAAGCTCGATACACTTATACATGCTGTATGAATACATCATATATAAGTGTATTGTGTATATATTGGTATGTTATATGCAGTTTTACTAACTTAGCTACTGAGCACAGATGGGTATACTCACCTAGTTGTGCTTGCGGGGGTTGAGCTCTGGCTCTTTGGTCGCGCCTCAAAGGTATATAGGTGTTTGACTTCAAACAAGCCTTCGAGGGCGCCGGCCACACCCCACTGACGAGTCAATTAGCGGGAGTTGAAGGTTAATGACCTTTGCTTGTCACCCTTATGCCTGCCCCCCGACAGCCTGGATCCCTTAATTAGTTAGATGTAAATTGTAATTAGTAAGGTAATTGTCAAGAGGTTTGCCAGCTACCATTAAACACCCCTAAACATGCACAACAGCTTCAACAGGTTAATGTTCTTGAGTAATTACCCCGCGTTTTACCTTTGAACGCATTTTGAACGAGTCTAACCCAATCGTGTGTTTCAGGGAGTTCATTTGTCGTTGATGATCAGAGGTGACAGTGTTACCTTGAGGTGGTTTCGGGGCTTAGCGTCCCGACGGCCCGGTCCTCGACTAGGCCTCCTGGTTGCTGGACTGGTCAACGAGGCTGTTGGACGCGACCCCTCTCAGAGGCTAAGCTCAATTGTTGCACCTTTTTATTTTTAACTCCGAATTAATTTGCATTAAATTAATAGTCATACCGTGCCTGTGGTCGAATAGTATGGGTTAAAAATAGCTTTTTATTGCAATTTAGTAATGGAGGGAAAATTTTCCCGCGGTGTATCGATTGGAAGGGACACAACAATGGGGCCGGGTGGTTGGGGTCCCGCCAAATAACTTTGCACTGTGAGATCAATTGATTAATGAAGGGCTGCCGAGTTCACACCTGCGCCCTTATACACTTTCTTCACTTCTATTTTTGCCTTCCATGTTAGTTTAGGACTTGGAATGGTATATCACACGATTGGTGGACTTTTGGGTGGTGAAGGTGTCGATGCGAAGGCTCCTGGTATCTCTTTCGGAATCCTTTTTGGCGCCATGTCGTTTTTGGCGCCATGTCGTTTTTGGCGCCAAACGTAAACATGGGAGGGAGGAGTGGCGGGAGGGGGTTATTTTGTGTGTGGAGGAGGAGGAGGGAAACTTTGTGTGGGAGGAGCTTTGTGTATGTGAGGGGGAAGTGGGGGGGGGGCAGAAAGAAAGGGGGACTGTATGTGGGGATTGAAGGAGGGGGGAAGGGGGACTTCTTATTATAAGAAGAGTTATAAGGCATGAAACATGGCTTTTGGTGTGACCAGTGGCACCCCTTTAAGGGAGACTTAGCATCAGCCACAGGGCCAGTGCCACCGGTATGCCTAACTGCTACAGTGCCATCGTAACTGACACTGGTGATTTCCGGAGCCGCCCACCGCCCCTTCCCTGGGTGATGCCCCGTCTAGTGATTTCATCCGACGCCGCCACACTGTCGCAAAAACCAGAGTCGATGAAAGACTTACGATGTATCCGGCTAAAATGTCTCAGCAAAGTCTTAAAGGATTTGCTCTAAAGGGGAGGGGGGGGGGTGGAGGGCGGCGCCTCTTAGCGTTTTGTAATTGGTAACTGGCTTCTTCAAGGAGCTGTAGGAACAAGGGCAGTCCTTCAAGCACAGCTAAGACAGCTGCTCGTGGCCGATACTCCCTGCCTTAAATGAGTGTCCAACGCCATTGTGTGTCCACACACACACACACACACACACACACACACACACACACACACACACACACACACACACTGGGTTGTATGGTGCCGAGGACCATTATTAGCGAGTAATACAGCAGTAATGGACAGGGATGCTTGATTATAAGGGGGAGGGGAGAGTAGGTGACAGTAGGAGCAGCTCCCCCTCTCCATCACACCCAGTACTGCCCCGCCCCTCCTTAGTGGGGAGGGGGAGGTGCAGACCACCTGCTGGGAATAATGGAAGGATGGGAAGGGGTAGGCTGGGTGAGGGATAATGGTAGGCTGAGTGAGAGGAAAGGGGGGAAGAGAAGGGAGAGAAAGGTTGGAGAGAAAGGAGGAAGAGGGAACTAGTTAATATATTCAAACCAAGTTCCCGAGTTTAAACAGGTGCGTCAACCTATCCGTCTAGGTAAGGGGGGAGGGGTGTATGGCATGAGAAACTTGTCACTTCTATTACGGGCTATTCATGCCCGTGCCACCTCTTGGGTGGCATAATCTTTTATCAATTAATCGGTTAGCTCTACGTGACGGGAGACATCTCCCGTCACGCAGGGTGCAGTCGCACCTCCACAGATCTCCAGTATCATCTATTGATACTGGTAATGGCTCAAAAGGGCCACCACTTACGGGCTATTCATGCCCGTGCCACCTCTTGGGTGGCATAATCTTTTATCAATCAATCGGCTAGCTCTACGTCATTACTACCCTACCATGCGTGACCAATCATAGCTCGACCCCGACCTATCCTGTCCGTTCTATCCTAACCCGTCCCGACCTAACCTAACCACACACAATAAGAGATACAGTTTGATGTTTGCTCAAGGTTTGTGACGTCGCGGTGATGTCATAATATCTCTTAAGGGTGAGGTCAACCAACCCAAAGAGGGGAGGGGGAAGGGTAGGGGGGGGGGGGTTCGACTAGCCAGCAGTCCACACCACTCCGGATAGCCCACTTATCCGGTTCAGGCAGCCATCCACCCACCCTATCCCAGGTGGTGGGTGGAGACGTGACCTTTGGAAAAGCTGCCGTCCCATCCCTCCCTCTTCCCCCCTTACCTCCACA